GGTGCCACCCTGACGGTTGATATAAGCCACCACAGTGGAGTTGTCGGTCTTTACCAAGACGTGGCGACCCATCACATATGGCATGAAGTGCTTCAGAGCTAGGAACACTGCGTGCAGTTCCAGCATGTTGATGTGAAGCCGCCTCATTCTCGGCGACCATATGCCATTCACCGCTCTGCCCATCATAGTTGCGCCCCAACCTGTCAGGGAAGCATCGGTCGTCATGGTAACCCTGGATGCTACGGTCCCCAGCGGGACGCCCGACATGAGAACCGTCGGGTCTCTCCAGGGCTGAAGAGCCGCCATGCATGTCTGTGTCACTTTTACTCTGCGGCACAGATGACGGCGGGGACAGAGTCGCAGCGAGGCGACCCACCGCTGAAAGTCCCTCATCATCAGAAGCCCCAGATGGACCACTGAAATCCCGGATGCCATAAGACCGAGGAGCCGCAGGCACAGTCTGAATGTAACGACGTTTCCCAACTGAAAACGCGTCATGCACTGGGTGAATGACAGGATTCTCCCCTCTGATAGTGTGACACGATAAGAGAGGGAGTTTATTTTGAGACCCAAATACTCCGTGCATTGCACGGGAGTCAGGCGACTTTTGGCTTGATTTATCCTGAACCCGAGGTTGATGAGGTGGTTGATCACTGCCAGGGAGTTGCTGACTGCCTGCTCGCTTGACCGAGAGCAGATTAGATAATCGTCTATGTACGAAAATATTCTGATCCCGCGCGTCCTCAGAGGGGACAGCGCCGCCTCCACACACTTGCTGAACACCCTCAGGGCTAATGACAGCCCGAACGGGATGGTCTGAAACTCGTAGGCTGTGCTCTGATAAGCTGCGCTCTGTGTGGGGGGTAAATGGAGATGTGAAAATAGGCGTCCGCGAGGTCGATGGTTACAAACCAATCCCCCGGACGGATGGAACGGCACAGTGCTTTGTGTGTGAGCATCCTGAATGTATATCTGCGTAAGTGTCTGTTTAACACACGTAGGTCCAGAATGGGGCGTAGTGATACGCCGTCTTTCTTTGGAATGAGAAAATAGCGCGAGTAGAAGCCCTGACGAACCTCCTCGTCCGGTACAACTCTGATCGCTTTTTTCTCTAACAGGGATGCTATTTCGTCTTTCAGGACGTGAGCTGAATTCCCGGTGGCAACCGAAAAGAGAACTCCGTTGAATCTCGGAGGTCTCGTGGCAAACTGCAGTCTGTAACCCTTGGAGATTGTATGCAAAACCCATGGAGAGACAGCGCATGCGCGCCACTGATCTGCCCGAGCAGAGAGAGGAGAAGCGTCGCTGCTGAGTGACGTCATCCCCTCTGCACTGCTGCGCTCGGCTCTTTTGTAAAGAGCGCGAGCTCCCTCTGCTGGGCGCAGAGGAGAGTGGCAGAGAGCCATTTGTGTTAATTTTTTTCTTTTTTGTGGGGGGCTTTCTGCCCTTGGCAACATGCCTGGCTGCAGAAAAGCTGTGTTTATTTTCTCTAATTCCCCCTGAACAACACTTTGTAACATGGGGCACAGCTGAGTGCTTGGTGACACTGATAACGTGCTGTGGAGTGTTTTGTGACACTGTGTCCTCCACCCCAAAATGTCTTCTCTCTGAACGTGAGAGGGAGAATTTAACATGCCTCCTGGTGAACTGGGAACTACAGGAGCATCTGAATCCTGGACAGAGAAGTTTGCCCTGGTGCCTGGAAACCTTCTCTTCAGAGGGGAGATGGTTAACAGTGGGGTTAGGTTGCCCGCTTTTTCTTGCTCTCCCCAGGGTGGGATGGACGATTTTTTGCAGCGGCCGCTGCAAAAGAGTGCTTCCCCCATGGTCTTGGGTTCTCCGCTTTGCTTTGCTGGGTGGATTGTGTGGCAGGTCTCCTTGAAGGCTTGGCTCCACCTTGCCGTACTCTCACTGCAGCAGCCGCAAACCCAGGTCTGGGTCCCTGTGGGGGGGGTTTGGCTGGGCTTACGAGGCAAACAAAGGTTAAAAGCCTCTCCCTCCTGTTTTCTGAGGGTACTCGTCTCCCTCATCTTCTCCAAGGAGGGGCCAAATAGACCTTTTGTCGGGTCATAGGGCGCATCCATGATCTCGGCCTTCTGGGAGACACTCAGCCCTGACAGGTTTAACCATAGGCCTCTTTCCCCTGAGACCGCCAGACCCATGACCCGACCACAACCTTGAACAGCACCTCTAGAGGAGCGCAAGATGAGATCGTTCACCACACAGATCTCATCCCATAGACTGGGGTTAGGTGTCCCCGAGTCCAGTTGATGCCCCATCTCCTCCAGGATTTCACCTTGGTACGCAGACAGCAGTGTAACCGCGTTAAGTGAGCACGCTGACTGACCCGCATATCTGTTCATCCTTTGGTAAATGGAGGCTGTGAGGCGGTCCATTTTACCTGGGAGCGAGATGTTTGAGGATGCTGAAACCGATCTGCGGTTAGGGTGGAGGTGGTAAGCCACTGAAGGCTCTACAGCTGGGGGTTCGGCCAGCCCCAGCTCACCCATGCCCTGTATCTCCAGCTTAGAGAAGCCCTTGGTGGGAAGCTTACTCTTAAATGGGCTGGACCAGAAACGGCTCATTTCTCTCATGCACGCAGGAACGGCTGGTAAAAGTTGCTTTGCTGGTGGTAAAGCTGGTGGAAGCCTTTTACCGTCGTACAGGTCCTGTTCTGCTCCTTCTGAATCCTGCGCTGCAGGCCAGGGGATGTTCAGCTTTAAAGCCGCCCGTCTGCACACATCGTACAGATCACTATCCCCCGGGGAGGTGACTTCTGCCCCGCTTGGAGGCCTGGAGTGATGACCCGGGAAGGTCGAGTCCTCCTCCTCCTCCTCCTCCATGTCCTCCAGTTCCAGGAGGTCGGAGTTAGCGTCACCCTCCGTTGGGTCGATGTCTGCATCGAGTTTCCCGCTGTCCATAAGGCCCTCAAACAGAGGAGGCATGGACGGGTACTCCTCTTCCATCACGTCCGCCCAGCTCTTAGAGGCTAGCGGCGGATGGTTTTCACCCGCCGCCGCAACAGCTGCAGGTGAGGAGAAGCAAGGGTCCTGGCTGTTAGCGACAGCCACCCTCAGCCGCCTCTCCAGGATCTTTTCCGGCATCGACGCGCAGTGCTGGCATCCCTGAGGGTCCGCCAGCGATGCCTGAGCATGCTTAGCGCCCATACATGCTATACACATCGGATGAGGGTCCCGCCCAGAGATAGATGCCCCGCATGACGCTGGACACGGGCGGGATACAACCTCTTTAGCCTTCGGTTCCGAACCTTTGGCAGGGGTAGGAGCCGCAGACATGACTGTAGATAAAACACGGAGCTCGTCGCTACACGTTAGCTCTTTACTGATATAAAGTCCGTTCGCCACAACACGTTAACCGGACTCTTATGCTAGCGATACCCTGCTAGCCAAAAACCAAGCCCACCTTTACGTGTTAGCTCGGCTGACACAAGCGCACTCTATTCCGTTAATTAAAACGGAGTAGATACAGGGACAGCTCGCCTTTACGCGGTCACCGCTCCCAGCGTTTGTGTTCCAGAAAGTGCTTCTGCCGAAGCGCTTACTCAGCACGGTACAGGCCTGTCCTGGTCCTGCGTTCAGCGACGTTTTCCTTTACGGAACGCCTGAGAACAGTTAAACAGGTCCAAGCTAGCCTGAGCGCGCTGAGGGAGCTTAGTTGTAGTCTTCACACGGGAAGAAAGCGAGAATGAGTTGAGGCGGGTAGGTTGGCCGTGATCTAGCTGGTGGGTGGAGCCACGGACACGGCTCAACCTGTCTGTCTCAGACAGACGTGATGTCATTGGAGCTTCCGTAGTTGGTCACGCCAAGGCGATTCCCATAGTGAAACACCGAGCGAAGTTAGAAAAAGAACTACTCTTTAACTTCTATTGTGAATGTTGATGTGTTTGGTCAAGGAGTTGAGGTAACAGTCTGGGTGGAGCTTGATCTACCAGGTGAAGGCTTGGTCACCATCCTTTCTCAGACCCATACTGATGCTCTGACAGTAGCAGCTCCCAGGTGCTGCTTAATTGGAGAGAAGTCGGCGGCCATTTTAAGTCTACATCACTCCTTGGAGCTGAGGCTAAGTGGAAGAGCATATTTGCTCATTCAGAGTGTGTTCATCCATTTATGAGTTCTCCACTGATACAAAGACAGAAACATGAAGAAACCAGAATCCACATGATTCCAACCTTCACAGAGACTGTGTTTAAATCTGTAAAAAAAAAGGGGGAAGCTTTCCTTGCTGAGAAAATTATCCCAACTGGTAGGTATGGAGGTGGCAGCATCATGCTGAGGGGGTGTTTTCCAGCAGGGGGACTGTTGCACTTTACAAAGTAGATGGAGCAACATCTTAACCTCTCAGGAGGTTGATGCTTGGAGACAAATGTGTATTTTAAATGGATGTACAACCAAATTAGATTCAAAGGGGTGAAGTTCAAGTTCAGGAAGGAAATCTCAAATGTAAACTTTCATAATGCAATCATGCTTTGAATCAAGGAAACACATAAGACCTGCAAGGCTCGTTGTCCTCTCTGTCCCATTTCTGATTGAGCTAGGCTCTCACATTAAAGAAACAGCCCTAAGAGTCTGTCTGCTAGCTTAGAGATGGGATCGATCAGCTGTTATTGATGAGAGGCATTGATTAGGCAGAGTATTGATCTGAGTATTGGTGATTAGGACATCATGAATAAATGACAGGACCGTATTGAGCGATTCATAAGAGGAAAGAACCTCCAAGGAATGGATGGAAGAATCAGGACAATTTAGAGTAAGGAGGGAACTGATTAAAAGAGAAAGTCCTGGAGGCAAATATCTAACTGGAATCGTAAAAGCGTTTTATTCCCATGGTTCCAATTCATACATCAGACACAGCTGGACTGAACTGAACCAATCGTAGTGAATGAAGATGAGAAAAATGTAGCTTTAGTGACAGAGAAGCAGAGGAGAGATAAAAATGATTATACAGAAAAGTGTTTATAGAGGAATGGCAAATTTACTTACAGGTTCTTCACGTTGGTGATTCCTCTGAAAGCCTTTCTAGGAACCGCTTGAATCTGGTTCTCACTGAGGTCTCTGGAGAGACAAACAGATGAAGAGAACATCAGCAGATTTACGGGAAGCACTTACAGATATATAGGTCCAATGATAAAACCACAAATATTTAATCTACATCACACGCACCCATGCTCCCAGCTGCACAAACAACAGAGTCTGTATAAGAACAAAGGAGCAGAAGACCATGAAGAAGAGGAGGAGGAATGATGAACTGACATTTATGATCAGTGGAACAATTTGCTCCAAAGAGCTTCAAAGACAAAAAGAAGCATCAGGAACCCTGCCAGCGCACACCATCTGATAGCTAGAAGTGTGAGTTGTGTGATTAATGAAGAAGGAGCGGCAGGAGGAAACCAGGAGGTTGTCTGTATGTGAAGTCCTCTGAAGTCTTTAAATACCACAGATTTTCTATTCAGTCCATGTGAACCCGTTTCCCACCATCGACGACAAACCCGATTTTTCATCTTTACTCACAATGAAGCAGGACATGCAGACCCGTGCTTAAATATTTTTACCCTCCTGATTTTTTAAAATATTTTTCAATTGATTGAACTATTTTTTTTGGAAAAGACAGACATAATGAAGTGTAGATTCACTAAACAAAGTTTTTAAATAAGGCATTTTGAGGCATTTCTCTCCATCAGATAAAAAAAGATATCTAATTATTTTATTTTTAAGTAATATTAATATTAAGAATCAGACTGAATGTTGAAGGTGGTCACATATCTGACTGCCAAAACCATGTTGCTCTATTGCAAGGGCGTAGGTTTGATTTCAACTTTGGTAGGGACACTATTCTTCAGTTTCATTGGTCCTTTGCAAAAATATGCATGCTCTTTTTTATGCTTAATGTGAGCTTCAGGGCTCATTTTGTTTAAAGAGCACAGCAGCATTTCTTGCTACATTAATACAAATCTTATAAGCACTACATGCTCTAGATGCTGTTTATCAATATTTAAAGCATCACTGGCTCTGATGAATGTGGAATTAGGACTTTTTCCACATTGAAAAGGATTGCATTTAAATTTACCTGCGACTAAGACAGTGTCTGTTTAACCAAATATAGTCTATAATATGTGGATTTATCCTGTGTTTTCTTCTGAAGATAGAGAATTGTGCAGAGGTAAACAGAGGTAAACCCCACTCTTATTTTTTTTTAATCTACTATGCTCTCTCTGGATCATGCAAAATAATACATTCAAGGGACAGCAAATAAATGTATTGTATTTACATTTGCACTGGAACTAGAAGAGGAACTGACACTGAGCATTTAAAATATTAATATTAGAAGTTGTACATCTGGGCTGTAGTTACTCTGTGTAGCTAATTTCATGTATTTTATCTATGGCTGAAACAATTAATCATATTAACAAATTATTTAAATAATCGTGAACTAATTCAGTAATTGATTAATCGTTAACTGGAGTATAGGGCCACTAAAATGTGCCTTTAGCCGACAGAGTGACCCACTTAGAGCAGGAATTATACCAAGATTGTAAAAAAATATGTAAACATTTAGCATTTAAGAAGTGAAAAAAAAAAAGTTTGTGTCTGTCAATATTCTCCATCCAGAACTCCTCCAAAAGAAACGTTTAAACGTTTCTGTTTCACCTGGTTTCATTTCATAAAAGATCTTCTTTAAGGAGCCTTTGGCTATCTGATTAAAAGATAAAATAAAAGAAATCCTAACGTTGTTAACTTACATTTCTCAAGTTCCACAAATCAAAAAACTCTCTCCTGCTTCTTTACAGAACTCCAATCAGAAGCTTTCGCCTGTTTTAGCGTAGATATTTTTTTAAAATTTGGACTAGTTTCGTAGCCCAATATTAATTAATTTTAGCGTCTTTTTTTTCGCGCTCCAAGGACCAGCGCGCGCGCACATACAGACTAGAAAACATGCAATCAGAAAGAGAGAAGGCGGAACTTAAGGCAGAATAATCAGAGAGTTAAACCGCGCAGCAGAGTTGATGCACTGCTATGTGAAAGGGACAGGAAAGAGCAGGCAGCTGCAGCTACCAGGCAGAGAAGCTGCGAGAGGAAAAGAAGCGGCTGCTGTATAGTAAATTATAAACATGTTGTTTACATCCAATTATTGGTAGGGACAAATAGGTCCTTCCAAAATTTTGGTAGGGACATGTCCCTATGGTCCCTATGCAAACCTACGCCCATGCTCTATTGTAAATATTGCTGTTGTAAAAAAAAAAATGCAATAAATTGTATTAACCGAGTGTTGTTTTATTTGAAATAAAAAATATACAAACGCTGTTAAACTATTAGAAATATTCTAACCAATAAATAATTGTCACCATTATAAAATATATCATTGCCTTATTTTCAGTTATTAATGTATTTATGTATGTATTTCCTTTAAAGTTTATTTATTTTTTGTTTTTCTTTTCAATAATTGTTTATTTAGTTATCTATTTGCTTATTAACTTCATTAAAAACATTTATTAGAAATGAAATGTCCCAGCAATACGTAAAGAAGCTTTACAAAATAAAAATGCCACAAAATAAAATACCGTAATCAATTGCTTTATTTTTTATTTGGAAGGATAAATTAGGCTTGAAATTTATGAATATACCTAGAAATAAATAAAAATATATACATTTTAAAATAAATGAATAAATCTTGAAGTAAATGGACGAAAAAGCTAAGGTAGTTTTATTTTGAATTGAACTTCTCCCTGATGGAGAGTTCAGAGGGTTTGAATACTTCTAAGTGCTCCATACTTATAGGCTTCCTTAGAAATGATATGAGCTGAACGATCATTGAAAGCTCAGACCTAACCTTGTTTGGAGAGGCGCTGGTTTGCTGGAACGAGGCTCGCAAAGCCTCCAAGAAGCTAATCACTTCATATTCCTGCCGGTCAGGCCTGAGCTAAACACTCAATCAGCAGCACAGGAACACATGACCATGCATGTTAAACAGTCAGAGCAGAACCACTGGTCTTCCTGCTTGACCTTGAGTGAGTGTGTTTCACCTGCATTGTAAGCACACGTAACTGTGTGAAATGTAGCCTAATTCTGAAACAGATTGACCTTTATTGCTGTAAAGGCTCATTGTTGAAGCCAGTTTGGAAAAAAATAACTTTTTTCCTTTAACTAACAAGGTTTCATCATCTTGGAGGGTTTTTCTGACCTGTTCTGTTCATCGGAGAGCAGATAAGGGGGGGGGGGGGGGGGTGGGGGGGGGACCCTGACCTGGGCCTTGTGTCTTTTCAGGGTTTTGTTTTTTTTTGCTCAGCAGTTGAACTCATACAATGCAAACATTTTATCTAGCGGTTTGGTATCATTATGTTTTAATATGCAGCACAGTCAGAACATATTTCCCCTGTTTACTCTTCTTGATCAAAAGGTGTTAGGGGTAGAGCTGTTATGTTTTTAAACAAAAAATAAGCTGAAGTCAACAGGACAATATAGAACTGTACAATGCTACCGAATGTTATCATCATCTATCTATTTATAAAAATTTTTGTATATCTTTTTTGCGTTTTCTGGTGAGAGATGAAAACAGAGTGTGAGAAGATGAGAAATTAATACAAGAGAGAGCATTAAAAAGTAATTTATTAGAGAAATTCCAGAGATAATAATATTTTTATTGTTTTGTTTACCATCTGTTAAATCTATTTGTTCTTTCTTCTAGCGGAAGGAAAACTGTCCAAATTAAAAATAAAAGCCACAATGAGACAGTGTGTCTCTGTCTGCCCTTCTGACTCCATCTGAGGGCCCGACAGGGAGGCCCGGCTCTAATCCGACTCATGTGTTCATCATGGGGGGGTTCGCTGTTCATCCCTGTGTGTTCCCGCTTGGAGGGATCCTAAACTTTTTTATTACCCTCTGTGAAGCTGAAACTAAAATAAAAATATGGTTGACATTTAAATAAAGCACAAAAAACAAAAATGAGAGAGAAGTTGTGTTTATCATATGGATTGTAACTAAATAAAGGGCCTGCATTTAATATTGTCCCATAAAGGACCTGTAATCTGAGCATTTTCTACTTAAAGGAGGAGTAAGCAATGATTTGTAATTTTACATAGTAAAAAAAAACCCTTCACATTGTGAAGTTTTGTTTAGAACCTCCCTGCCCCATAAAAGCTAGAGCAATGTAGCACAGGAGCAAAATGGTGGAGAGCATGTTCCGCAGATCGAGATGCTCAACTGAAGACAATAACTTGCCAAAATTATGTTTTTTGGGTTGTAAAGATATGAGCTACTTACATCTTTATTAGACATGTTCGTAAAGGATCAGAGCAGAGAAAAATATCATCACCTAATATGCAAATAAAAGCAGAGGATAACATTGGAGTGACTTTTCACACGTCTTGTTTTGGTCTACAGGCAATGCTAAACAGGGGCCTCATGGCGGAGCAGTTGGTGGCACTGCTGCATTGCAGCAAGAAGGTTCTGGGTTCGATCCCTTGCCCAGGTCTTTCAGCATGGAGTTTGCTTGTTCTCCCGGTGCCTGATTTTTTTTAAATCTACGGGGCTACTGTACGTCTACCTCCCAAAAGACTTTTAGGTTCATTTGCATCTCTAAATTTTCTTTAGAATAGGTGGGAGAAGATGGATTGTTGGAAGTGCTAAACAGCCCCAACAGGTTGTAAAATTGTCTTTTTTTTCTTTCAGGTGAAAATCATATTGTGTCTAATTTAGCTAGTTGATTAATAATAATTATTATTAGGATTATATTCATTATCAATTACAAGACTGGTTGACACCATACAAGCTAAACTAAGTCAACACTATTAGTAGAGATACAAGACCATTAATCAAATGTATTATAAGAACGGGATTTAAAATATGAAAAAGACTGATCAAAATTCATCCAATTAGAATCGCATCTTTCAATTTCATCTGGAACCCGGTCACAGCGGCAGGAGTCCCGGCAGAGGCTTTCCTCTCCTCAAACAACTCTATAAGCCCCTCCTTCAGCCACCACTTCAATGTTCTGGAGAAGAGCTTGGTTGATCCCAGAAGATCCAAGGCTAAAAACCACATGACAACTATGAGAATTA